TTTCACCAAGTAAGTGGTGTTGTCAATCCCTTTATTGTGGTTTCTAGTCAGAAGGGCAAATAATTCAGCAAATATTTAGTGATGTATCAATATAACTCCTAGCAAGAGTACATTACAATTGACAAAGCTGAGTAAATTTGGGAGCAATTCAGAAGCCAAGTCCAATGCAACAGCAGCACTCAGCAAGTACAAATGCACACAATCCACTATAAATCACCTTTGAAATATACCCAAAAGAATTACATATTTCAGCAAAATATAACACAGAAACATTCAGATTAAAAATGCCCAAACTACAAAAAAAACCACTTTGTTCTAAAACTGTAGACTTCTGTTCCTGCTCATGGAAACACAGGGGTATTAAATTATATACTGGAAGTATTCACCAAGATCCCCAGTTGAAAAACAAACAATCAGAAGACTATATAAAAAATATCTTTCTGAAGCTACTGAGGGCCAGAACTACAAAGTTCAAACAAATTTTGTTTTCTTCAATGTGAAGATGTATTAGTATGCAAAATTTCATAAATATATAATTTATGTTGCATTTATTTTCTCCAAAAAAGCTGGTGAAGAAATATCTAAGTAAGAATCCAAATGTAGCCATACATTTAGGGCTTATAATAACACCAAATATTTTTGTATTTTTTATAGTCTTAATCTAATATTGAAGTAGAGTTTTAAAAATACTAAAATGTTATTTACAGAAAAATATCAAATTTTCTCATTACAGACTTAAGAAACTGTTCAGATTATGTATTTGTTTTTTTTCTCTGCTTTTTCTTTTTTTGGTCACTGAGAACAATAGTATGAGATCAAGTATCTTTGTTCCTTAGCAGATCATCTGTTCCTGCTGCTTCTTTAGCATCTGAAATCATAATCATCTGTTGGTGACAATCTAATCATCTTCACAGTAATTAATTGTGATGTCACAAACAAATGGTTATGATTTCAGGTGGTGAACAAACAGCAGGAGCAGATGTACTCTGAAGAACAAAGACTGTAAAGTCATGCACGAATCCCAAGTAATAAAATGTTAGGCAACAAAAACAAAGAGTCTGTCCTTTAGAGAGAGGTAGGATTGCTCTGAATGTGTTTTTTTAATAATCAGGTTTGCAGTACTTTGGGACTCCCAAAACTGTTAGAAATAGGTGAAGGAAACCTATACAATGGAAAACTGAAATTGGGAAACATGTAAAAACAGTCATGGTCATTTTTTTCCTTCTTAGAATTATAATATATAAAAACACAATTACATTTTACTTTTATTATTATACTGTTCTTCATAGCTCATCTACAGTTTCTCCGAGAACACATCCTGTATGATGTTTGTGATCACTACATCCATAAATACAAAGCAAAAATATGTTTCCATGAAAATGCACTTTGTGACAGGATTGTTCTTTTGTTGCATGTTTTGTTTCTGTTGATAACTACTTAAATCAAGAGAGATAAATGAGATTCTGTTTACAGTAAACATTTTTTGTATGGGCTGCAAATGCTTCTGGTCTGCTCAGTCTCTCAAAGTCTCTTCCAGAGGCATAAGGGAAAAAAATCAGTCAATGTCTTGTCATTTCACATGTGAAGAATGTCAAAGATATCCCAAACCAAGAAACCAATAGCTTTGTGTTTCATCTTTCTTTGAAACTGTGAAATGAAGAAGACAGGTAAAGAAGTAAACCTGTGGGAAGAAGCTTTGCCAGTGAGTAGGAGGAACAGAAGTGAGGTTTGCCACATGGATAATGCAAGAGTAACATGATAGAGGGCAGCAGGAGAAGTTAATATTCAAGGATATTTAATAGGGAATACTAAATATATATTGAGCTACTAATTAGGAGGATACAGACTGTAGAGTATTTCTCAGCAAAAACAAACAACATCATAAGAGCACAATGAAATCTGTTCCTCAGCTGTACTGAAATATAGAATGGTTATGATTTTTGTTTTCTGTTGTACTGAAGTATACAAATTCCCTTTACTATTCCAGTTTTATTTGTCTCAGATGGAAACACAGGGCATTATGTACACAATAAAAGACTATCTGTCTGCAAAAGGAAACTGATGCACAATAGCCTGTCCTAGCAGGACACAATTGTTTTCCTGGAATAAAATTACTGGAAATATGAATAAAAGCTGCCAAATGGTAGATGTAGCAATCTCAGAGCCTCAGATTTTCAAGACCCCTGAAAGTTACGTTTATGGTAACAAGAAATGAAAACTGTACATTTCTCTTTTAAGAAGAATACAAAAGGGAATAAGCTGCTCCATTTGCCCTCTTTTAAAGCTTCCTAACTAAAAAAAAAAAAATACTTAAAAAACTTCAAGAGTAAATTCACCTACCAAAAAATGCTGTTCTTAAAAATAAACTAGTAAACTCACACCTGAAAGGATGTGACATTTTTTATCTGTGGAACTTGTTTGGAACTGACTTTTAAAACCCCTCCACTTCACAGGTGCATGAGAGATCATGCATAAAAGTGATTTATTTCATTCAAAACACCCTGGCAGTGTGGCTGGATAAGTATTTGAGCAATCTGGTCTAGTGGGTGGCATCCCTGCACATGGCAGGTGTGGTTGGGACTAGATAATCTTTAAGATTCATTCCAACCCTCTAACATTCTATGATACACTTTAATCACCTGCTTATTATTAATGTTGCCTCTAGATTGGAACCCTCAAAAAAGGGGGTTAAGAGATTAAGAACAATGGTCTCTGAACAAATGCCCCATGTCTATTGTCATGTTCCATCTTTTTCAACTTCCAATTTACTTGTAGATCAGAAGAATGGAAATGAAGGCATTGAGCACTACAAAAGTGTCCCAGAATAAAAACTTGTTTCTGTACTGTGGCTCTAGTGGGTGCAAAAAGGTCTGTGAAAAATAAGTTATTTAGTCAGCACAAGTTTAAAATATAATTTCTGTCAATCTTGACTCCTGTTGAATGAGTTTCCTTTTGTGGTCTCTTTCTAGATTTGGATTTAAAGGTATAACTGTCAAAGTTGTCTTGAGCAGCCTAAGAGATTTTTTTTTGTTGGTTTAAAAGAAAATTGTGGATTCATCTATAAGTATCTCTGCTACAAGATACTGAAAGGACAGGAGAAAAGATAGATGTCTTATTCTGCTGTCTGAAACTCTAAGATGTTAACATTTGAAGATATTTCAGATATTTGAAGATCTTGTCCTTAAAGATTTTGACAATAGAAATCATCTAAAATTATTGATGGGGGTTGATGACAGGGCTGTAAGGAAGCTATTAGTGGGAAGACTTAGAGCCTGTAGAATCCTTCCTTTCAGGGAAACACAATGGCATGTGCTGCATCCAAGATCATATTAAACACTAGCAAACTGTTGTGTAGGTTGAAGCACAAGTTATTCCCCACATCTCTGAGTCCCTCTGTGCTGACTGGGAAGACCATATATATATAAAATGGAACACTACTGAAACTCCTTAAAACCTGCTTTTAGGACCATGTCTTTCAGATGTATACAGGCAAAAAATAGAAGGTAGCTCATGTGTGTGTCCATGTCTGTACAGTCCTAAGGTGAGTGAGATAATATTTGGGACCCTTAAGAATTTCAAATCTGCACACAATTCTAGAAAAAAAAACAGCACTCATGAAAAAGCAAAAAATAACTATTTGTATTATCTTTACCACTTTAAACAGCAAAAATCTAGCTATAAACTCATCAAGTTCTGTCCTATTTTTTACCTGTTGCAGTGAAACTGAATTCAATCTTCACCAACAAGGTTTCTTGGGCTTTTCTGTCTTATAGACAAAGCTCAGGGAAGAGCGGAACTACCAGTAGCAGAACGTCACCAGAGTCAGGAATGTTGTGAGAAAAGCTAGAAATTAGCCCATATAAATAAAGAATCTCAGAATTGCAGATTGGGTCAGGCTGGAGGGACCACAGTGGGCCATCTGGTCCAATCCCTCTGCTCAAGCAGGGTCATCGCAGAGCACAGGATTGTGTCCACATGGTTCTTGGATATCTCCAGTAAAGGATACTCCATAATCTCTCTGGGCAACCTGTTCCAGTGCTCAGTCACCTGGACAGTAAAGTTCTCCCTGACTTCCCATGCATTCATTGGACCAAATGGGACATAGCTTGGTGTGCTGAGTCAACCAGCTTGCATCATTATGAGACCACTCTCTGTTCTGTTCAAAAAGCCATGGAGATCAGAAGAAATCCCTAGCGCCTAGAGAAATGCATTATACTCAAAAAAGGCAGGCTAGTCAGCCTCATTCTGGTCCCTGAGAAAATCATGTAGTCCTCTTAAAGCCATTTGTGGTACACAATGTCATTATCTTTCATGATAATATGACTGATTTCATGAATGGAGAGCAGTGGATGTCATTTACCTTGGCTTTAGCAATGATTTTGACATCATGTCTCCCCCAACATCCTTGTCTCTAAGCTGTGATTTTAGAGTCTAGGTAAATAAATTCCTAGCTAATAGAAATCTGTTGGGACCCAATAGCAGCTTTCCAGTATCTAAGAAAAGGTTGTCAGAAAAGATGGAGCCAGGATATATACTGAGGTATATAGCAGAAGAACAGGAGATGACAGTCATAAACAAACAGGAGATGTTCTGACAAGGATATAAATGGAAAAAAAAAATCAATGTGACAACAGTTAAGCACTGGAACAGGCTGCCCAGAGAAGCTATGAAACCTTCATCACTGGAGAACTGTGAAAAAGCCACAAGCAACCTTATCTCAACTCTGCACTGACTCTGCTTTGAACAAGCAGTTTAGGTGACCTCCTATAATTCATTACAAACTGAAGGATTCAATAATTTAATGAGTAGATAAAAATTTCCTTGTTTCTGCACTCGTTCATACCTACACTCACACACACGACACTCAGGAGTTAATTCATCTAATTGCAAAAAAACCCCTAAAATATTTACAAAAAGCATTTCAATTGTCTTGAATAATCCAAACCATACAGAGACAAAGAGAAATAAGTATCAATAGAAATTTAGAAAGCAATACTTACTATTACTTGTTGGCTCAGGAAACCCAACATTTTGGCCATTCCAACTTTTGTTTTCTCCAAGCTGAAACAGGTAGAGAAAGATAAGTAAGTAAAGACCAAACTGCTCCCTAAACAGAACATTCCTGTTCATAGTTAGTTGAAATATACTAAAAAGGATGACTTGAGACTGCTACATCTGTTCACAAAATGTTGCTAACTCATCTTCATTTTTGCGTAAGGTAGGTTATTTGAGTAATGTACCCTTCATGAGTAAACATTAACAACTATTGCCTAACACTGAAATATAAATGTTTCCCCAAGGATTAGGTTCAACTCAATATGTTACCAAATCAGACTTAAATAAAATTAAATTATTTAAGGGCTCTCAACTGAGAACATAAACAGCCAACAGAGAAATTACATTCTAAAACAAGAAGATCCTAATTACCGCCTATGAAGGAATGTGTAAACAGTATAAAGTACTTTGGGTGTAATTTTAAAATATTTACTTGTTAGGAATCAATTTAGTCACTGAAGTGGAAGTAAAAATTATTACAATTTTCCAATATTTTAATATATTTTGGAGGAAGCTAATTGCCTTCAAATTAATTTTACTATGTTTAAAACCGAGTATTACTCTGACATAGAAAAGGGGAACAATTAACACAGAGGTTCAAAATGAAGCCACCACTGAGGTTTACACAGTAAATAAGATGGCAATGTCCTAGGTTTGTGTATAAAACTGGATTAAAAAAACGCAAGCTTCCTCATTACTTGGGAGGCATCAGCAACCAGCTTTATGAATGTGAAATGAATGATCCTTTTCAGATTTCACTGGGATTTTCTATGCAAACAGAAAACTTCACAGCAAAGCAGGCTATATGCCAGAACAAAGTTGTAATCATTTGCTCTCAGAGATGGAGTTGGAAAGTGAAGGAGATGAGAAGGAAAATCAGACAGCTGAAATCTGTGTCTCAGAGGTTGCATTAAGGCTGTTTAGATTACTGCTGTGTCATAATACAGACCACTAGATGATACATATTACTTGGAAAAGAGGAGGGGAGAGCACACAATGAAAAGCAGGTATTTCAATGACTGTTTCCCTGATTTTCATCATCATGTACATCCTGAACAGCCTCGGCAATGTGTTGTGAAAATGGGAGATATTTGATAGAAAAGGAGAACAGGCATTACAGTCAGCTTTCAAACTGGTCACTTATATCCATACACTTTAATTTCATATAACTTTTTTATTCATATTATGAAGCAGGTAATATGTACATTTGAAAATACAGGTGACAACAGTTCTTCATATGAATAAGCAATATGAAATCTATAAATATGTTTGTATTTACTGTTGTTAACAACAGCATGCTTTTGTCAGGAATCCATCCTGACATCTGTAACATGATGCCAGCACAAGCACACTGTTACAATTAGAGAAGATTTCCAACTTTCCTCATTCTTCTCTTTTTTTATTGTTTATTAACTTGATCATGACAGGGAATTTAACAATTCCTCTATGAGTAAGCGATCCTTAGTACTGCTGCCTCACATGAATGCAATCTACCTTGGTTTTCTTCTCTCTAAGAGAATACAAGGGGCAAAAAAACCCAAAAAGGTGGAAACATAAAATTATTACAACTCCCCATTCTTATCCATAGAACTAAAATTCTGACAACTGCAAAATGTCTCCCAGCATACCTCCAGATTGCTCTCCTCAAGACTCTGCACAACCATTACTGATTTCTTTCCAGAATCAGTCTAAAACCCAGGAAAGAGCAGAGCCTTTACTTTTCTATATTTACCTGGTTTACTTGTGCTGCCATCAGCACTACACATTGCTCTTAGGTCTCCATTAAAACAATAAATACAGTCACATTTTATGTAAGAAGGTTAAGGAAAAAAAAAACCACTGAATTTAGTTTAGCTTATTTTTAAGGGAGTAGGAATGGAATGGAAGGACTTGAGGAAAAGGGGGCACAGGGGAAAAAAGAATTGCCTTTTTTAACATCACCAAAAAATATACAGGTGAAAATTATCTATTTAGATGCCAACCTGCTATGTCAGCCAATCTACACTGGGACCCATTTGGATTCAAACACTGAAAGAAATATCTTCTACTGGTATATCTTTATTGCACAATTTATATACAAGGAATTTTGCAATGCTCAAATTGATGGAGAGCTAAGGGCTATTTTCTCTCTTCACCACAGTTTTGTTTGAGAGTTAAAATTCCTTCAGCTACACAAACTAACTTATGCATTGCCAAATATATCCAGACATATACACAGAAGATAAAACCAGATGCTCTAGATATTTCATGTCCTTAAACCCCAACAAAGTTTTAAAAATTTGTGACGATTTTGTTATGATACTGCCACTACATAAAAGTTGAGTACTTCACACTTTTTGGATATAGTAACCTATTTGTTCATTGTATTCAGAATAATATTAGGCCATTGTACACTAGTCCACCAATCCTAAAATGTCTACATCTGCAAGTATGCAATAAAGCCTGATTTTCTAAAGACAATGTACTTGTAAGCAATAGATTAATAAATGTAGGGAAACAAAGCAGCAGCATCCCTTTTTAGCCACTCAATTTTTTGGTAAGGGTTTCAATGTAACCACAAGTTTTCACCATGTAGAGCTCTCCAAAGAAACTATGCTGTGGGCTGATTTTTTTCAGGCTTTATCTCTGAAAAATACTGAGTAAAATTAGTTCAGCCAATTTCAAATCCAAGAATAAAAACCTATGTTTTCATATTAGAATAAAAAAAATTAGTTTTTCTGGTTTTACTTATTTTTGGCAAAACTGCCAGTGAAGAAAAAGTTGATAGCTTTATACCATAGAGAGTATATTCTACAGCAGAAATGTCTCAGCATTCTGGTGAAAATGAATTATCATTTGAGTCAGTCAGAAGCTTTTTTTTAAATGGCCGTGTCTGCACAGTGTGTTCTCACTAGGAACATCATCCAGCTTCCAAGTACTCTGTTTAGAGTATTTCACACTTGTCTATGACTAAGACATATAGTGAAGAACATAGTGAAGGTGAGTGTGAACAGCACACACATTGCTGCTACTCCCAAAGGACAGTGAAACAGAAGAAGGTGGGGCCAAGTAACCAGTACAGTATTTCTTTTCCTGGTTAGGAATACAGAACATATAAAACAGAATACCTCCATGTTTACATATACACAGATGTGTACATATATACTATACTCAGATTTATTATGTAGTCCTAGAAAATCCCAACAGAACATTATGTTAGCTACCTAGTGCAGCCACAGTAAACACAAAAGTAATTATCAAAATATGTACATGCAGTGAGTCTGCATATGACAGAAGCTGTTTAGGGTCCGCAGCTTAGTCAAATACTTCACCAAGTATCTTTTCAGAAAACAAAAGACAAAACTTTAACAGCCAATTTTGGTTACAAAAACCCCTAATCAATAAATTCAAGAGAGGAGAGGAGTGCTAAGTTGCAGACAGCTAACGTGGAAATACATACTTGCAACACATATGAATTTAAAATGCAATTCCTTCTTCATTAAAAAAAAAAAAACGTGACACACATTTTCTTTATCAGTCATTAAATGTGAAAAGGCATTATATTTCTGTAATGCTTTTAGTGCACATGCAGTGGGAAGATAAACACTGACTACTATTTCATATATGAAAGTTAATAATGTTGTTCCTTTCTGTTCCTTCTGTTCCTTTGGGCTCTCATGAATGCCCAAAATGGAATAAAAGCACGAGGTACATTCATCCTGATTTGTAAATAGAAATAGGTGCATGGATCACATGTACACTTTTGCACACACACTATTCTATGAAAATCTGTTTCTGTCCCTAATTGCTCTCACAGGAGCAGAGGCTGCACTTAATACTAAGGGTAGCTATAGAGTTGTAGCTAAACAAAGGCTAATCTGTGACAAGCAACTCCCTAAAACAGGCCATGCACAAGTTTAAGCTTCCAGTTTTACTAAGTGATTAGCTGATACAGCTTAAAAACCTAGACAAGGGTAAATTGTGGGCATCACAACAATTAGTTCTCACCTTTTCTGTCTGGTCTTGAAGAGGAGTAGAGGCTTTGTATCCCAGCTGTAGCAACATTGCTTCTGCTGCATTTCTTTTAGCTATTTTTTTGTTTGGGCCTGTCCCAGTAGTAGTGTCATTGCCTACTTTTACCTTAAAAAGAAAATATTTATCATAATCATGATAAATGCAAGACTCCTTAATATAATACTCTTGCTGATTTATCAACAGCTGTCAGCTCTTTTGATGAAGATGCAATCTTGAAAAATGTACAGTAGCGCAAAAGGGGACTACAGTATTCACTTGGAAGGACTTGTTTAGATTTTTCAGAAGTTCACCAAACTCATAGCCAAGAGCTGCATTTTTCTGCATCTCAGTGCACACACAGTTGCCTCTCTCTTCCACCAGCGTCTGTGTCACCCCCGTTCTCTCTCATGAACCTCTCCCCCACTCTGTTAACACTGGAATTGCCCCAGGGTCTGCACTTCCTCTTTCTTGTAGGAAGGAGTGTTGCCTGCAGCAGCTCCCCAGCATCATCAAGACAGTATGCAGAGCAATGGAGAGACAAACAGACTTGAGATTTAACGAGAGGGGTTTCTAAAGAAGGATGAAAACCATATTTGCCTTCCTCCCACTTTGTTGCACTGCAAAGAACAGAGGGGCTGGAACTGCTTACACCTGACAAGCTTTGATCCAAACAGTCCTTGGAAAGAAGGGTCCTCAGTGCACCTGTGGTCTGTCCAGTACAAAGTTTCTGACAAACATGATGCCTTTCATAACACTAGGAGAAATTAAAACCCCAAAATAAGGACAAACTGTAGGCAATGGATATCCATAAAATGTGTGGCTCCAACTTAGTCCTTGGCTTTGGTACCATTCTTAAAACTCTTGGAGCTGTATGTGTCTGGTTTGTGACATGAGCACTCTCACTGCATTCATTCATAGCTCTTTGATTGGTTCATTAGTATTTTGCTCGGTCCATTAAGCCCTTCTATTTGCCAAATTGTGTCTCAAAATAGTGTACAGTTTCAAAACCATGTCAAAAAAAGAAAATCAAAATCAAATAAAAATAATAAAATCATCAAGGTAATCTGAATAGCAAAAAAACCCCAAAACCCTAGAAGTCAAAAATCAGAAACAGTTTGGAAGGAGCTTAAAAAAATTTGTAAAAAAAGGCATACAAATGCTAAATAAAGAATAAATTATATTCAGTAGTTTATGTCATTCAATAATTCATTTTCCTTAATTTATCCTATATGTATTTTCCTAAAAGTTTAAATTCTTCTTTATTCAAATGCATCTTAATTCTAAATATGAAGAGGATGTAAATAAATAATAATCATTAATGTCCCTTCAAAGTACATATATATACATCATTAAGCAAAAAGATTTGTCTACCTAAGGCAGAAGTATTACTAATCTTGAAATATAAACTTTATCTTTATCTATGCTGTTCACAACAATTAGAAAACAGCCAATCTGCTACAAGTTTATATGCAATAAAACTGAGGGACTTTAATGGGACAAGACAAAAAGATAATTTATAGCATAGCTCACAATAAATCAATGTGTTGCTATTTCTCAGACCTGTAAAACTGGTTTAGCTATTATTATAACCTCTATCAAGGATTAAAGGCCTGACTACAAAGAGAAAGAGCTTTCTGAAATTAACTTTGGGAACAGAACACCAACTAATGTCATCAGAGGTTTTCTTCTGTTTATCTAGTAGCCAGGACAAGTAATTGGATCCATTTCATCACATCTAAACTTGCTCTTTGTGTGACAGATAAAAATGAACATATTATCTCTGGATATTTTACTTCCACATTCAATTAAATTAAATGAAAACATGGTTTAAGTAGTTTATACAAAGGTATTTTTTTCTGAAAAGGTTTTCTGCATGTCATAATGAATCCACTGAAATTTCCTGAAGGTGGGATAAATAGAAGAATAATTTTAGTGTGAAGATATTACAAAAGGGTGAAAATGGAGTTTAAAAGTATTTGTAACAAAGCAACTGCTGTGTGGAGTTTCTTTAACTCTTTCTTTCACAAACCTTCTTAGATACAGGAATCTTCTACATATTGACTGCTTTTAAGATTCCTTTTTTACACAAACTGAAGATTTTGCCATTGTTGACACTCCTCCAACAGAAAACTAACCTGCCAGCCCATCTTTCTAATACTGGGCTCTGTCACACTGCTCTGCTGAGGCCTCACATAGCAACTACCAACTGTGCACAGTCCCATGGGGGTCTAAGCATGGGAAATGAGATTTTCTGTGACAGGATCACTCTTTTTCAAATACTTTCAGGTCTCATAAAATGTTAGAAATCCAAGGTTATATTCAAAAAAAGAGTCTGCAACAAAAGACAACACTTTGTTTTCCTTCAGAGAGAAAAATAATAAATCATGAAGAAAGACCACTTAGGCCCAAGAAAATTAAGATCACTATCTTATCTTCATAGAAATGAAGGAGGAACGTAGAGATTGAATTGAAAACATAACTAATTTTCTGGAGAAGGAGGTGCTGGAACATCATAAATTTTGCTTGTGATCAGAAGTGACATTTTGGTGTGGTTGGTAGACAGCAAGTCAAAACACGCTGAGGTATGCAGTTCCGAGTTGTTCCAGCACAAAATTACCCTTGACTGAAAACACAAGAATACAGAATCCTTTCCTGTTTCTAATCTTTCTCAACCTGCTGTTGTGCTATCTAACAAAATATCACAGTTACACCAAATATTTGTACATGTTCTTAATTTAAATTTGAAAGGAATTTTAATGATCTACTGTTTCAGTATTGGGTCCAGTAAGAGGATAGTCTAAAACATGTGGCTGGCTTTTTTTGCTCTATTTCAGAGATAACAAATTCACAAAGAACTGGAAATCTGAAAAAATTTACAACACTATTTTTTAAATCCAAAATGCCTGGTAATATGGACATATGAATACCCATATTTCAGAATACCAGGTATTGCTGGCATCCTTGGATCAACACCAGTCCAATTTATTTTTTTTTCTAAAAAGACAAGTAAAAGTAAATAAATCATGAACCATCAGGAATAAAGACAATAACAATCTGGTGAAATAGAAATAAGTGTATAAAATAATGCAAAACGCATGAAAAGCATCTAGAGGGCACATAATTCAATTGCCACTTGTTTCACTAAGAGAAAGAAGAAAGTTTAGATGGGATTTCTGATACTGTATTTCATACTATTCCTGTATATCTGACAGCAAGGCAAAAAGCTAAACAGAAGGAGTTCCACTTCACATTATGCCACTGTTTTGTTTGATTTTGAACAAAACACTTAGCAAGGCCATTATCTCTAACATGACACAAATGATACCTGCATAACAAATTCTCGACGGCGAGGCATTCCTCTCTCTGAAAGAAGAACATACTCTGGCTCCTTCTCCTTTTTGGCCTGTTGGATCTGAGCCAAACGACTGATGGGATTCATTCCTTGACCATATTCTGGTCCAGTCTAAGCCAAGTTAAAGGAAAGAACCATTATTTCAGTATATATCCCTATAAGTACTACATTGCTTCAATAAGCATTTACTAGGATTCTCTCTTTTGTAATACTCCCTTTGAGAGAATAAGAAGTAACTTACTTTCCATTTTTTGATTATGAGACAAGAGATAAGAATCAGGCACAAAGCTGCAGAAAGAAATTGTCTGCCATTGTTGCAGGTAGTGTACATACCTTGCATCTGCAAGCTACAAAAACCCTCTCCTCTCCGTGGAGGTCCTCATAAGGATGGATGAAAATTAGCAGATTAATTAGCCACTTATATCTTATTGCCCTTATTCTAGGAGCCTTCCCCCTAACCCCTTAAAATAGCTTGCCACAATGGTGGAACATGCACCACACTGAGAAGAGGTGGGATTTACACAGAGACAAAACCCATTTGCCATACATAAGGATGTTTCCTCTTCCAGCCTTCCTTCTTTCCTTTTCAGCACTCCAGACCTTCCATCCTACAGTGCAATTTGCAACTAAAGGTGCAGAGGGTTTACTCTGTGTGTCGTATGAATTTACCCTAGAATTGTTGCTTATGGTGAACCACCCATAAAATACTTCAAATGCTTAACAGGCAATAATCCTCACAATCATATTTCCAAAAGTATGGTTGGTGGGGGAATTGATCTCATGCTGGGGAAACAAAAGGACTGACAAAGTGGTCTGTCCAAGACTCCACAGACAGGACGAAAACTACAGTCCTTGAAAACTCTCTAGCTCTGAAATTCTTTTAATGAATTATTGTTCGCACAGCAAACGCTCTTTCAAAAACACATAGCTATGAAAATATTTGTTTGTAGATTTTTAAGAAGAAATTAAGAGCTACAAAAATTTATCTGAAGTCATACTTCACTGATTTACATAGGATAACACAAAGAATGCACTTGCAAATGTAAATGGCATTTGAATGTAGAATTATTTCTATATTATGAGGCTATTTCCCTTTTATGAAACCATTTGCAGGCTAAGAGAAGATAAGCACTCATGCTTGCTTGAGCTTCTCAAATAACAAACAAGTGTTCAGGAACCTGAAGAAATGATCAGCAACTGAAGGCAAAGATCAGAGAGGGATATTATATTTAGAAAGCAGTGCAGCAAATCCTACATAGTGTAACTGCTGAAGTAGTTAGAGAAGATGTAGGTGAAAGAGCTAAGACAATGTCATACACAAGGGCAGCTGTGTGGGCAAGAAGCCAGGCAGAGACAAAATGCAGAGCAGGCTAAATAAAGAGCAGGCCATAAGATACAGCCTCATAAATAAATATACAAATAAAAAGAAGTTATTGTTGCCACTTTTTTGGTGCTCAAAACACATGCAAATTAAATTGAAAGAAATGGGCACATTGAAAGCATTTCAGAAGTTTGGATATTCAAAAAATAAAAACCATCTACATATTCAGCTTATTTTGACAATTAATGTTCTTTCTAACAAGGCCAACTGTGTATAATTAAATTTGAGTTCGTAATGGCAAATGGTATATGGTAATGTAAGAAATCTTTTCATTACTATACCCTTAGCGTCTTTCCTGAGAAAAACTTTCCAAGATGTTTGGTGAAAACCAAAGCCAAAAAACTTTTCCAATCTTCCAGCTTTAAGGCTGCATTAATGCTGATGGTATTCCATTAAATCATTTTCTTTCCCATTTTTTCATATAAGTTTCTGAGAATTAGATCCCCAGGATATTAATAGGAGATGGGTATCTAATTAATCTAGGTTTTCCTAAAAAATCACTTATTCTGTATTGAAGGCAAATGAAAAAAGGAAGGTGACCAATAAGCCTTTTGTATATTTTCCAAATCCAGTTTTGCACTCTCTGAAGTATTTGCTTATTTTAAAGTGATTTTCTGGTGGCTGCTCTTTCAGAACTCTGCACTTTGTATCCCGAGTGTACAGATTTCTAATGCTCAAACTTTTAGTAAAATATTGAAGCACTATAATAGCACCTTATTAATTTATCTTTTCATGTATCTCTCTCCCTCCCTGGGGAGCAGAGAGAGCCCTGGGAGAGAACCAGCAGATATGCTAAAAGGGATTCTCTGAGGAGATGATGCTAAAACTTGACACAGCTGGACAGGGCTGCTTGGAGGGCCTGATCCTCCACTGGACCTGAAGCAAACCCTTGAAGACCTCAGTGATGTGAGCTATTTATAAGCCACTCTGTTTGAGAATCCCACAGCATTCTCAGGATTTAAAAAAAGCCCAGGCGTATTAGCACAGGCAAACAAGTAACAATATTGACAGTAATAAGCAACTGTAACAATATTGACAGAAAATAACAAATAAGCCTTTCTTGATTTTAAATCTGACTGTTACTTTCTGAACAAACATTCTGAATTGTGTCAAAGGTGGAGACATACCTTCAATATTGTTTTTGGACGCTTTTTAAAGTAAAGTTTTGGCTTTTCAATCACAGGAAGAGGAGGAAGTTTCTTAAGTTCTTGTAGGACAGCCATTGCAGCACGTTTCTTTGAGAGTTTCTTACTGTTGCCTTCTCCCTCTGCAGTGAATTCTCCTACTGTAACTCGTGTAACAAAGCTCTTCATGTGAGGAGGTCCACTTTCTTTAATCACCTTTTAAAAGAAAGTAACACTGAGTCAAAGAAGATAACCTAATGTTTGTTATCACTGCAATGAACTTATTACTAGTCCAGTTTTCCTGCTAATTGAAGGCATTAGATTGGTTTCCGTAGAACTTGGACAAGTATTAATGACAGTACGAGGTTTGAGGACAAAAAATTAAGACTAGTTGGATAAAGCAAATCTAACCACCATATTCAGTGTTTCACAGAAAGTAAGAGTAGACTTACATTTTTAAAGATTTATAGAATAATACAATATACAACAATTATGCATATTTAAACCAAGGCTGATGGGATTTTTCTTTGCAAGGTGCTTCACATACTAAAGCAATTAAATCCATGAAGGTCTACCAGGCTTTGACTATTTCTTTATACAAAACATATTCAAAACTGCATTAATTTGGCATTACCTCAACCTGTTTGTAATATTTTTTCTATTCTCATCAAACCATTGGATGTTCATAGTCCCAAACTTCAGTCTCAATAGGTGCAAGCTGGATGCCTGCCCTCAACTCCTGCCTTGTCAGGGCACACAGCTCAGAGCAATATCCCATATATTTGAAAGGCTGACACATTCTTGCCTCCATGACTCTCAGCTGTCCCTCCCAACAGTACTGAAAAGAATTACCAGAAGAGCCACTGTAACTCACACAAAAGCCAATCATTTCTGAAAAAAAATCATTTATTTATTCCCTTCCAAACACATTTAGTACAACAATAAGAAAATCCATTTGAAGTACTTCATTGCAACAAGTCATAGTAATATGGAAAGAAATTAAGTTCTGAATGTTGTACCATCCTTTTGTTGTTTTTCTGTCTTCATTTTTACATACATATACACATACACACCACAAACACACACATACACATCTCCTTTTAGAAGGCTAATGCTAGGACATGTTCACCCCCAAATCAGAGCGCTGCAAGTGCCAGGATAGTCATCCATCCCTTTGTGCATGCACACACCATTTACTGGTCTGGACAATGTCTATCAGGAATTAAGAGACCTCATCTGGGAAAAGGTTCAGTTATTTTATTTGATGGGCGGAAGCAGCTACCTAATTTAATTTTTGTTATATGTAATATGTATAAGGAGACATTAGAGTATCTGACAGGCATCTCTTTATAATATCTTCAAAATCAATACAAACGTAAATTTTTGTTTTCATTTGATGGAATTACATCAAACCATTTGTTGAAGAAGAGTAATGTCTCTTTAGGTTGAGGAGGGAGGGGAAAGGGAACAAAGGTAAAGGCACCAGGACCTTCTTGGTGTAATAACTATAGTTTTAATGCGCTCAAACCTTCAATCTTGACATTATTACAACATGTTTTGTATTAAAGTTCTTTTTCTCAAGGTCATGTCCCTTGCATTATTTAGTTTTGCTGTTGCACTGTAATGAGGTCTCCTTTGGCTTGTATTTATTTTTTAAGTTCTCTTTTGTGGCAATTTCACCCACAAATACAATTACCACAGCATATATCAATAAAAAGACAAAAAATTAAAATTAACAGACAACTTTGTCCCGTTTTCCCAGAATAAGATGACATCTATGCCAGAATGGGATTTTCCTGTTGTAGTCCAGAAGTGTTCCCACTCTAAGATTCCAGGTATTAATTTCAGAAGTGTTTTCAATACTGCCTCAGTTGAATGTTGCCCACTAAAGCTTGACCACATGAGAAGGCAGCAGTGCTTTCAATGCACTGAGCCCCAGGATGCTGCAGTGCCTGCACTGGAGCTGGGATGAGCCCAGTGCCAGGATCTCCTGCTCTCAGACACAGTCCGGCATCGTGTCTGTGCTGAGCACCTTCATCGCACTGCAGCATTTCTCACTCGATCCTACAGCACCTCAAACCATCCCTGTATTCTGTTATCCAAATATTACAACATGCTTGCTGTAAAACACTGCTAACTTAACCTTACTAAGGTCCTTAATCTTTCTGTGGTTCTACTATACTGTTATATAGCTTTGTCTTTACCTGCAATGTCTATACTGACCAGATGAAAAAGGAAAAAATAACTTGGTTAAGAAATATAATTGCTGAGTTCCTAAAATATTAGTTCATATAAGTTTTCTCATATTTATATAAATGCACACAAATATATATATATATGTATATGTATATATATATATATGAAATAAAGAATGTTAATACAAAACCAGATTATATTTTCATATACACAAAAACATATTTCTTAATATGAAACTAATGCATTCTGATGTGGTTTTAATATTTTAAATTTTAAGTATGTGACACAAAGTAAATAATTTACTGGAAAACATTAAAAACTCTATCTTTGTTAGTGTGTAAAGGGAAAAAAGTCTGTGTTGTCAATGGAATGAACCCCATAGGATTCAGATGGGATCTGGATCAAGCTAAACATCCAAATTTGGTAATTAAGCAAAAAATATTTACCTAACAACATTTTTGGTTAACCCCAGATTTCAGCTCTTTTTTACTCCATATGATTTCAAACAGTTTTGCTATGAGCCTTGGGATAGCAAACACTAAAGAGAAATTCAACCTTTGCTATCTAAGAACACTATACACATTAGAACATTAAACTATTTCCTCAGTTGAAAGATACAACCTGTGGACCTAATCATGGCTAATTTAAAGCTGAGAATTTGATTAAGGGTGACAGTTCAATATACTTTTCTTTTTCTGTGCCATGGATTCAAAGAATAATTACAGCAAGAGAAAACACATGGGGCCAAAACACATCTAAGGTCAAGTTACATCAAGAATGAATTTGGCTCAACTTAATGAATCATGCTGACAAATGAAAAACAGAAGTACAGTGAAAGAGTAATACTGCTTTAATTATTAATGAAATGCCAGGTAGAAAATTCAAAATATTAGGACAGATTAAATAGACATTAAATCTTCCAAAAACTTGAGGATCAAAAAACCCATGTGACCTACATTATGAATACATGATTATTTATAAGATATTAAAATATCAATATATTTCCAGGAGCTTGTGCAGGCAGACACACCAGATTTTCCCAGTTACAAATGAAAAAAAAAAAAAAAAAAAGAAAAAATAACTTAAAAAAGAAAAAAGGAAGAGTCTGAATGTCAAAGTGTAAAACTGCAGTGAGAAGGGTGGCCATACTGCAAAACCCAAATGAGAGTTACTCGGTAGTCAATCATCCAAAGCTTTAATCTCCAGGACAGCAGAAGTCAGATAGGTGTGAAACTTCCTGCTGAGAACTACTCTCCCAGAGTTTGCAATTTGGCCTGTCCCTGGTTCAAAACACAGAAACTCTGATAATTCTCTGCAGAATCTTACTGTGATAAGACTGGGACATAAGAACACTTTCCAGCAGAACACTGGACAGGTATGGAGAAAATTTGCCTGTTTAGGCACTCTGTGCCTTCTCCTGATACTGAGAATGAAAAAACATTGTTATATTTGCTATTCTAAAGAAATAACACTGCAGTACAAAGAAAAATATTGAAAATAAAATGGCAATCTGAAACACCCCAATGTGTTCTAATATCTGAAGCTGTTGACCTCAGTTGTGTTTTCTATGCTCATCTATTCCTTACTGAAAAATAAGGAATAAAAATCATATCTATTGAAACAACAACAACAACAAAAAAAAGGCAAGATTTTAGCCTACTGTCAAGGCAGGAATAAGATGTGGACTGACCATTCTACAGCTACTCTAACAATTCCCACAGCAGTCACTTCTGTAGTCATCCTTAAAAACTGTTCATTGGGAACCCCACAAATGCCCTAGAGCAGTTGCATTTTGGCTTAAAAGTTGATGAATCAAAGTTAGCTAAGAATGCACCAGTGACAAGTATTGTTCCTTGTTACAATGGAATGGTTTTATTTAACAAATTAATAGATAGAATGTTTGTTAAAATCATCCTAAAGTTCCTAGACAATTAAAACTAGCCACATTACATGAAACAGGACTGTTCACTGCTCGTGCAATTCTGAGGACATGTTTACATAGAGCTTAATATATATTTATGATCATTACTTAGTTGCATAACCCAGCACTGTTGGAACACTGGCTAAATCTTTGTCAGATGAAGAAAAAGCAGATTATTTTATAGCTACCACACACAAAATAAAAGCTACAGAAGCTTTGATGCCTGCCTGGAATAGCACAAGACCATTAGTGAATAAAATCCTATTAAGAAACATCAGATCCTGGGGATTATGCATAATTGCTTAGCAGTTTTATTGAAAAGTAAGCCAGAATCAAGTTCAATCAAAACTGCATTTGAGAATGTCACCTATATTTAGATTTAAAGGCAGGAAATAACACAAAACCTGTCAGGAAAGCAAAAAACTGTCTTTTTTCAATGTTGCTAACATTCTTTGGCAAGTGACACATTAGATTTTTCCTTACAAAGTATTTCTGCCTTCACTCTCTCCTTATCAAATGTTCTCCCTTGAGTAAGCTCAAACAGGAATGAAGAAGACATTCAAAGCACTACCCCTCTTTTCTTTCCAGCTTCCAAGCTCCTCTGTGACCAGTGACCATACATCTCCTTACATTTTAGTGCATTGATTGGTACAGAACTATTCCAAATATTTTTAAATGTTTAAGGTAGAAAATAATGTTTGAAAACTAATTATCAGCTTTCTTTTTGAAACACAAGCATGTGTTTCCATTATGTTTGCTCTTAGCTACGAGTTGGGTGATTGGCATGTAGTGGCAAACTGATACACCAACAGCCTCAGACACACCAGTTTCATCCTCTAGATTATACATTCTCTTAATGTTTTAATTAGTCCATATCAAAGAGACCACATATATTAAGCATCTATGCCTTTGCTATACCAAGGAATTCCTTAGTCATGAACAATATTCTTTGTCTTTCTTACCTACCTTCTGAGAGATTTATCAGATTTGTAAGAAGGTCCAAATATCTTATTTGATGTTCGCCAATTCAGGGACATGGGCCAAACATGTCAGTAAACTGCATACAGCACACTGCAAGGCATGCCACAGCTTAGGGGGTTTGATTCTTTTCACATGCAAATACATGCCTATACTTTAACAGGAAAAAGCACTGGAGCAAATAACCATGACCAGAATAAGCACTATCCATGTCTGTCATGCAGACTCAGTTTAAATGTAAAACAAAATGCAGAAAAATAAAATAATAAAAGGCCACTTACATTAGCATTTTCTGCATAAAAAAACCCAAAAAAAACCAAAAAAAAACCCCAAAAAAAACCCTGAAAAAAAACCAGCTTGAAAATCTGGTGCTTCCTACCACAACAATGTTACATTTTTACAACAAGGTTTTGTAAGAACTTTCTCATAGGAAAAAATGAGTGTTAGTATCACTCATTCTCCCTTAGTTGCTTCACTGATAGCACTGGAGCTATTCCAAATGCTCTTTATCGCTTCAGGTAAACAAAGGTGTCAGAAACGGGTTCATAGATAAAATCATACCAAACAAGCAAAAAAACTCGTGAAAGCTTAAGTAGAAATAGATAAATGAAACAGAATCAGAGTGGAAGATACTCATGACTTTCTGAAGACAGCACACTGAAGGTGAAATGTTTCAATTGGAACTTTCCTAGCGTATGAATGCCAACAGTTAAAGCAAAGGCTTTGGCTAACTCTTTTGAAGTTTATTTCAAATCAGATTGAGTGTGGCTACAGATTCTAACCCCACAGCTCTGTACAGAAAATGGTTTAACTGTCTTTTTGCCATCCCAGTGTTTGCAACCAAATATTAGAGTTCTTAAAGTTCTTAAAGAGCATCTAATTTAACAGTAAAAAGTTATTGTCATAGACTCTGATACACTGACAATTTTTTTATAATTTCCATGAATATGAAATGCATATTTTTCATATATGAATATTATGTGTTGAATTTTAGTGGTACCTTTTTTTAATACTTTCTTAGTAAGATAAATATGTAACACAGGTAAAAATGTAATACATACCTCGAAAGTGACAGGTATATTGCGCTTCAAAGCAATTTCAAACACTACGCTGATCTCAGATTTGTTTGCATCTTTATCTTCTTCTGATTCTTTTCCTGTTTCTCCATTCTGAAAATGATGCATACATAATCATACTACAATTCTAAGAAGATCAACAAAATATAATATCCTTCTGCTCCCAGTTTCTCAAAGACTTTTGAAGTCTCCTGTCAGGCTGTAAATCACCATTTATACATCCATCTCAGCACCCCATTATCAGACATCTGCTGACTAAAGCCATATATATTGTGCTTTTGCTTCACAAGAAAGGAACACATACACCTTAATTTATAAATAAATTATAAACAGCAAAATAATGTCTATGGTTGTTAGTCTTATTACTGACATCCATAACAATTGTCTGAGTACACACGCGTGTCAAACATGATCAAACAGATCCTTTGACCCATTTCTCAGGCTCTCTGTAGGTACCCCTTTAAGCAAGGAGGAAATCTGTGCTTGTTGGAAAGTACAGAAGACTGCACTTCTCTCAGAAGAAATTCAGTCAATCACCCCCACACTCTGACTGGGTCACCAGGTTACAGGTGTCCTCAGCAGGTCCAGCTGGTTAATGGCCCCTCCATCAACTTCCCTCTGGGAGTTATGACCAGTGTGAAAAGGTAGTGACAGAGAACAGCTTGCTCAACACAGAACATTATTTATTTATCCATAGGAACATAACAAACAGAGAGGCAAAGAGATAAAAAAAACCAAAAGGCACATGAAACATTATTCTGCCTAAAATTCAGCCTTGCTTTATTCTTCAGGTAAATCTAAATTTTCTCACACAATCATTAGCACCAGGATCAGTCAGAGTTTTGCCTTTTGCAACTACTGCCTTTGGTGTTTGTCCCCCAGGCCACATTTCCTTAGTTCTCAGAGGCTTCACTTCCAGCTATTTTCAAACTCCAAAGCTCTGAAATACTTCAAACTGGGATCTCTCAACAATCACGTAACCTTGGCCAGGCTTCTAATTTTTTATTAGTGGAGGTAAACATCAAAGACACTTGGGCTGAATTAGGTGGATTCCTGCAGAGCTCCCATCTTACATAACAAAGTCTGATCTAAATCTTCAACCACCAGCATAGATATGAAATCCAGATACCACAGCTCTAAAACAACATTAAAAAAGCACTAGGTTCCTCACATTACAATGAAATTTATCAATCTTTTATCTCATTTTAAAACTCTCAATATATTAATCTTTAAGATAACACAGGGCCAAAAATCCAGTACTCAGCTACAGCATGCAGACAAAGAACACCTTTTGTCTCATGAAATTGTTGCAAAATTTTTATTCTAAAAAAATCCATTTATATGCCTGATATTGATCAGGAGCTAAATACAAAAAAAATATTGTAAAGTTATAGAACCTCCAGGAAAAAAAAGGTGCTGTGCAAAACAATAACAAGGGTATTTACAATGAAATTATGTAGGACCTCTAGCTCATTTCATATAATGAAATTAAAGTACCACTGAAATCAAGAATGTAGATCATTACTTGCAGGACAGGCAAAGCATTGATTAGTTTCACTAAGAAAGGTCAGCAGAGTTAAAAGAACAATATTCAAAAATAAAAAAAATATTTGGGGTATAAAGAATGGGATACTACTATTCTGTAAAAAACATTAGTGAGAATATTACTTGATATTGTGTTCAATTAAGTTTGTGCTTTATAAAGGACATTGATAATCTAAAAAGCTGGCAAAACAAACAAATAAACAAACAAAAAACCCCAAAGAATTAATTACAGATTAGAAAAAACAACTTTGCACTGAGACACTACAAAAATAATCAGTTCTACAAAAAATTCAAAAATACTTAAGAATAATCTCTAAATATATGTATGGGACAGATTTTTGATATCTGTTGGTTTCATTTAGCAAACATAAGAAAACACCAATTAAATAGAAAATGAAGCTAAATGAATTCTAAAAGAAATACCTCATAAATTATCTTTGAAAAGGAGAATAATCAAACACTGGCATAATTTACATAAAATAATATAATGCCCACTGGATTTGCAGCAAGCTTCAATCCAAGAATGTTTAGGTTTTCTATATGTACTCTAGTTTAATCAGATATGTATAGTCTAAAATAGAAACTATAGTTTAAATTTTCATTATCAATAAAAACACATTCGCCCAGAAAATACCTCATTGTCCCTTCTGCATATTTTTTCACTAAACATAGTAGAGAACCAAACAGTGAGTAGAGAAAAGGGAGGATCAAGGTTTAAACATCAGTACTGAGCAATAAAGTTTCAAGCTTTAGGAAGATAAAATATGTTCAAGAGTGTCTCAGGCACTTTGGATTTAAATTTGATCCTCATTCCCGCAACTGACACTTTAATTGTAAGGCCTTTCTTAGCCTCACATCTATGAGACAGCAGAGGTGCTTTGGCAGACACACAATAGTTCTTTGTGAAAGCATTCACCGGCAGCCCTGCCCTGTTGGCTGATTGCTTCTTGCTTCTGCTCACCTTATGCTCTTCTACACATTTGCCCAATTAGGTATTAAGATGGCAACACTCCTTTTCAGTGGAAAAAGGATTTTATGCTTTATTAAGTTTTTCTAATAAAAGGAAAAAATGATAGCTTGAAATAGAAGAATATACAGAAGGCTTCATTAAGGATAGCCATGAAGTCCAAAAGATAGACCTATGCAAGTACGTACTGTGCTATATTCCATGGATCCCATTCCAGTCAAGTTCACTGAGTTACTATTGGATTAATAGATGGGTAGCAGCAGGTCTGTCCTTGCTCCCTCAGGAGCACACTGTCAGGGAATGGGGAAGAAAGAAGCTCAACCTCCTAATGCATTTATGAGTACGATGTGTACTGGCTCTGATCCACGCTTGATATTTGAGGAGCAATGAATCAATCATCTTCCACAGATAACCAAGCTGGCCAGTTTTGCTGAAGGAAATAGAGTTTTACTAAGATGGACCATGTCCCATGGTGAAAGCACACACCACCACTGCATGGTGTCCTGTGTGCACTTCTCACAGGCAGCAGCAGGGAGAAGCCTGAACCTCGGCACCATGAAGCCCTTAAGCTCTATTTCACCAATCTCCAGATCTCTGGAGAGCTACACTCAGCTCTACACAGTGCAACACTTTGTACTCCCTCCATCATGATCTCAGCAAAGTGTTACCTCCAGCCTTCTCCAGTCACCTACAGCTCCAACCCAAGAAGGGACAGAGGTGTTGTTCATGACTAACCTGCAACCAGTGCCCCTTAACCTCAGCATAACCAAGCCACAGAGATTCACTTGACTAAGGATCCAATTTAGTCTCCTACAAACACACACCTGCTGTTGAGAACCTACAGTATCCCAAGTGGTCTTCAGCTGCTCCCAGAGGTCTTGCAAGTACTTGGCTTCTTTGATTGGGAAATGTTATTATATTTTTGCTTTCAATTTAGAAAGAATGCTCTGAGAATAATTTTTCTGTTCAGTATTTTTAAAAATATGACACAACATTTTAATTTTTAAGCAGCATATATTGCTGCTTACTTAAAGGTATAGCAGTGAAAAACCAAGGTAATTAAAAAAAAAATTCCCGAAGCACAGACCTGAGGTAATTTTTCTGGAATAGGCTCATTCTGAAGAGCTTGAAGGGCCTTCATTGCAGCATTATGTCTAGCAGCTTGACGAGTCTTTCCTTCACCAAAAAACTCACTGTTGCCAACAGTTAACTGGACATAGAAAACTTTAGGCACTGGGCAGTGATACCTGGAAGGAAGTCATGAAAAGAAAACAACAGTACAAGTTAGGAATTTTACCTGTCCATTTTATGTAAAATAGAGTAGTATTTGGGGATGAAACATTATCTTTTCTCCCAGAATAAGACCCAGTACTCAAATACATGGATTGTTCCTCAGCAAGGCAATTGGTAAGTCTGACAGCCACTCCTATGTGCAAACCAGCTCTTCACCTACATTTGTGGAGCTCTGCAATGAGCTCTACTAATTATCAGCCCAACAGCCTAGCTCTGCTCTCCTCTTGGTTTGAGTCTTGAGAAGATGAAACCTAAGGAGAACAAAAAACTCCAGTGGAAGCCCTGCCTAGGAGAGAACTCCTGTCCCAGACAAGGCATGGAGGAAGAAGGATTGTGAGGTTGTTCATATGAAAACCTGTCATTACAGCTCAGCTCTAACGGACAACAAAGTCAGATGACAGAGAATATACCTAGCAGAAATGGATCCTCACTTGACAAATAACTTGTTCACATTTTACAACAATGTAAGAAAGCCCAGGATTCCAAAAGCATGGACAAAAGCAAGTTCCATCAAATTAAACTAGACTGACTCAATCTAGATTCAATCAAACAAGTACTATATTTTCCTTACTCCTCTGAAAGGATCTTTTTTAAAGTGTGCTCTCTCCACTTTCATCTGTGGACATGGATGGCAACTTTTTTATATTAACTTTTTTATAATGTCAGAATTTTCATTAATAAATGTAACCCAGTCATTTCAACTGTGAAACAAAATACAAAGTTGACCAGAGAGCAGAACACTTCAGAAGCAGACAAGTGTGAGTATGTACTCTGGCCTCAATGTCCCTAAACTCTGTGTCTAATTCTAAAACTACATTTATATGGAAAGAACCAAGCATAACACTGGCTCTAATATGCCTCTGGCTATAGGGTCTTGGAGGAGTGAGCCAAGTTGCCATTATGACATGCAAAAAATGAATATGTACTTTGCTTTCTTGTTTAGAGTTTAACACTGTTTACAGCTTAATACACTTATTGAGAATTATTAAGGCCTGTAAATGCTTTTGCTTATGTAATATTTTCATAAAATTATATAAAAACTTCTGCTGGAAAGGCTTCTAGAGGTTATCTGGTCCAAAGCAACATCCTGAACATTGTCAAGACCTGAAGTTAGACTGTCTTGTTCAGGCCTTGTCCAAGGTATTGTGGAGGTCTCCAAGGATGAAGACTCCACAACATCTCTGGATGACCTGTTCTAGTGTCGGACACTTTCTGGAAAACTATTACAAAGTTCCTACATGCCTAACGGAATTCAAACACTTGGCCCTGATATTGTTGCAGATTTGAAGATGGAGCAGAAATCTTCCTCCCAATGCCAAAAATTACCAGCTTCCAGTTCTTGCCATCACAGGACTCCCTCCCAGTTTCCCAGCCCAATTAGCACTGACTCTCCCTGCTCCTCCTTTAGTATGGCTGGGAATTCATACTCTTGTACTTGCAGGATCTTAAGAGAAGATCCAAGTGATCCCTTACTCATTTGACATAGTGATGTCAGCAGTCTGTTGACATCTTCCTGCATCTTCTTTACTTGGTAAAGGACAAAAACACAAATCTTCTGACACAGCACACCTCCTGCAGACAAGACCACTATCTCTACAGCCTAGCTAGAGCTCTGGAGTGAGCTCTGACTCAAGGTCTCTGATGTAACAGGAGAACTGCTCCAGATGGTGCTAGGAATGGTGCCAGGTGGTGCATCACCAGCACTACTGAGCACAACCCCATCCTCAGCAGAGTTTCCAACTCCCTTCTGTATCTTCTGCTGTGCCTGCTGCCTGTCTCTGGGAGCAGTGCTCTGGGCCCTGTATTTACATCTGCTCTTCCCCGGCACCTGCTGAGAGGGTGCTTGACCCTCTCTAATCAGATGACTGGAAGGAAAGCTCAGTGCAGCTTTTGACCAGGAGCAGCTGACAGAGCTTACTGGCAGCTGCTAGAGCTTGCTGGAAACCACAGCCTCCTGTAGATCTCTTTTCCCTGCAGCAACAAGTACTCTCAACTTCTTGAAGAGTTCCAGGAATCTTCCCACCATCCCAGAAGATGGAGAAGTGGAAATGGCTGCATGTGTTGGCTGCTGCTTAGCACAAGACAAGCTGTGTCATGCAAAAGCAGTAGGCACCTTGATAGCATGTCCCACCTCATTACGTCACAATCCTCTTTAAATAGAAAAAAATGAGGTAGTGCTGTTAGCAACTACCTAGATTTAGGGAAAATACAATATCTATCAGAAGTTCCTGTTTCCTGTTGAGTTACTAGACCTACCTTTCTCCCCACTGCATGCAAAGGAGGAAAGCACATGAATTTAATCCACTTTATAAACTCAAATCCCACAACAAACCTCTTTTTCCCTCTCCTCTCCCCACCTTTTCTTTTAAAGAGTGTTTAGGGAGCTATTTATGTGATAATAAGGAAAAATGATATTCAGCCTGTGGCTCTAGAGCCTCATGCAGCTCTTTGGCATTGCCAGAATGATTAAGCTTTTACGTGGTTTTGATTAAATTTTTCTTGCTCTCCTTGGCCTCAAGCAGAGTTGTAATACAGCACTGATAATATGAGCATTGCCAGGAAAGTACAAAGGAACACCTGAAATCCTCAGAAAATGAACGAAATCTGTGAGGCTACTGGCTTCTCTACAACAAGGAACATGTCAAAGGAAACAACATTCTCCTGTTTTCAGTTATGAGGACAGAGACTGTATTGACAAAAGCCTCAAAAGTAATCCTAGTATTACAGTCTGACAGTACAGTGTGACAATTGAACTGAGTTTTAATAATGAATGTTTCTGCATCCTGAAGATGTACACTCATGTAAAGAACAAGCCCATGGAAAGGCAAAATGCTCTATCTGCCACTGATCATTAACAAACCTTACTAGTAAACTACACATGAGTTATCAAAAAGAGCTGAAAGCATTAGCAATCTTTGGACTATATATATATATATATATATATATATATATATATATAATTTAGTGATTATTCCGCAATAATGTATCAGCACAATATTTTCCATCATAAGAACACCTACAAGTCAGCACTACACTCCTCAGTCCTTTGTCACTCTGTTCAGTCACAGAACAGAAATAGTCAGGATTTCAAACAGCAACACCTCACATATGTTCTCATTAGGTCTCTAAAAGTTCTTAAATTATGTTCACTTAGAAATTATGCATCTTCCTGCATTCTACATGGCAGCTACAAATGCTAGGATTTTCCTTTGAGAAAATTCTTATGTAAAAGGGATTTTCAGATGATACTGGCACACTCGACAGAACATAAGCTGACCAACACAGCCAAATGATAGAAGATTGCAAGACTAGAAGACAACAAGATGGCATGTGAAATGATACATTCAGCTGGAACAAAACAAAGTGTCATAACAGATAATGCACAATCAGCCACATATAACCTACAAAAACAAGCTCATTTTCATCTGGCTTTTCTGGACATTTCAAATTCTTAAAAAGATCCTCGAAATAAGAGGTCTGGAAAGCAGATTCCCTTTATTCCCTTTAAGTTCACATTTTAGCTAATGCCATTAGAACAGTCAACCTGAAAAAGGATATTTGCTCTATGAGTGTGACCTTGAATGTCAAGTTTCAGCAATGAGTAAATATTTACAACTAGTTATAAACCCCTAAAAATAGGGGTTCATAACAGAAATGCTGACAGACCTCAACTAAGTTGGTGTGAGTGGGCGCCACTATAATTAAATAAATCACCAAGGTCTGCTGACAATTAGAAAACTCATTTTGGTTTGCCACAGAGACAAACAAAAATTCTGTTCATTATAATTTTACTGGAATATGATGTCATAACATGTAAGCATACTGAAACAATCTGCTGCTTTTCTAGCCAAAATATTAATTGCATACTAAGGAGCCCTTGGGGCCTCTTCCTTTTTGGCCATCAAATCCACACACACAAACACAAATAAAGTATTAGTACATACGTTATGTGTTCATACTGCATTTCCTGAATTTCTATGGATTCCTCAATGGCATAAATGTTTTTGATAAATATTGTTACCTTCTTCTTAGAAAGAGAAAAAAAGAAAGTACAAGATGCAGCTCACAGAAACTGGGAAGTTTATTTAGATTTAGCCTCATGCTTAAACATCAGTGAAGTTTTCTCTAATTTCTAATGGTAAACATATTCTTCAACTAAGTAAAAAAGAAGAAATAAACTCAATTACTTCCCCACTACACAAGTGTTATAGGAAATATTACCCTATTCCCATTCCATAATGCAAAGTGAAGAGTAACTTAGACCATATTTTAGTGGCCAAGATAGAGGTCACTAAAATATTATCTATGACACAGTATGGGAAAGTCATTCTTCAGATACCAGCTTTGCTGGAAGGATCATTCTCTGCACCTTTTCTATCTGGCTCGTTTTCCATATGAAGTCAATCAAGCTGGCAGCCCTGCTGGCACTGTTTAATCAGAAAAATGCTTTGAGTGTTGTGAGTGGAGGGATAGAGAGTCACAGACCATGCAGGGGAGTAGGAAAGAGCATTTGCTGTGAACAACTTTTTCTCCGTAACATTTGAAATTTCTCTAGGGGAGCAAGTTGCTTAGTGCAGCTGTTCCCTGGTTATATCCTATTTTCCTAAGCAGTCCATTAGACACGTGCATTTCTTACAGATGTGAATTCTATGGTTTGAAGAAGGAAACATCCAGTATAGTCACTTTTGTCTCCACGCAGTGAACCTCCTGGTTCTTTCAGCAGATCCACAACAACACCTGGGAACAAAGAGGCTCTCTTTTCCAAGTACTCCTTTTGAGATCTACAGTCTATTATTCTTGAACTGTGTCTACTACAGACTAGGCTGCCTGATCAAGCAGAGCCTATAGATGAAGCCTTGTTGCTCCAGTTCCAGGAAAGATTTTGCTCACAGGCCCTTGTCCTGCTGGGGGACTTTAACGACCCTGATATCTGCTGGGAAAGTAGCAGGGCGAG